ATTTACGGATGGGACATCCCTGCTCTGGCCTGCTCTGTGCCTGTCGTGTGCAGTTCTGCTGATGGACACATTTGAACGGTCCGGACCATGAAGTCTGGTCCTCGGGACCGAGCCCCAGCCGGCCCCAGCGTTGCCCGCCATGGGCATCCACCCCTGTCTCGACATGGCGTGCCTCTCCTCTGCCCGCCCTTTGAGCTCGTGCTCTGCTCTGCTGTGCTGAGCTTTCTGGGGGAGCTGACGCACCGCAGAGCAGCTCGGGAACATTCAGCAGTCTCCGGCTCCCAGTGACGCCTCCCGGGGCTTGTAAGTTGTCCGATGCGTCCCTCTGTTTTGCAGACAGCAACATGGAAGCCCAGAGGAGGGAAGGGACTTTCCCAGAGCCGCACAAGCCAGGTTGGAGGCAGAGCTGGGAGTAGAAGCCGGGCGTTTCTGTGCGTCTTGGGGTCACAACATGCTCTTTAGCGTGGCTGGGTTTCTCCCTCTCCTTGTTTTTATTTGGCTGAGGTTAGAAAGAAGTGTGCATTTTCAAGAGCTCATCAGTACAGACCACGGGGCAGTTTAGAACTGAATACCGGAGAGATGGTCTTGTGGAAGAGGCTGGCAGCTGTGTCTTGAGCAGTTAAATTTAAAAACAAAAAAAAGCTGAAGACTGGGTGCAGAAAACCAGGAGCAGGAGGCTGCTGGGGGTGTGGACCCAGAGCAGATTCCGTCTCCTTTCCTTCAGTGTCCCGGGCCAAATGTGAGCGCTAGAGCCTTGCTGGAGCAGTGTGCTTTGAGAAGGCCCGAGTACCCTCCGCTTACGGCAGGGTGTTTTCGAGGTCCCGCTTTAATGAGGAGATGGTCGTGTGAATGGGAGTTACCAAGGCAAGTTGAGCAGATTGAGAAAGGACACGAGCACCCCACCCCCCATGCCTCTTGTGTTCCGTCGTTTATTTGCCTGACAGTCTTGACAGAGACTCGGGGCAGGTGTCCCTCCCAGCTCCCAGTCGGGAGCGCAGATTCTGGATTTCACAAGATCTCTGCCCGTTTCTTCTCTGAGCTGCTTCTCTGCCTGTGTCTGGTAGATTAGTTCCTTCTGAGGAACACTGTTTTTCCACCTGCAAAGCTGCCTTCTTTGAACCACACTTGAAAGGAAACTTTCAAAGGCAGTACCAGGCTCCCCAAACACCTTTCTCCAGAGGAAGCCGTCCTTCCGCCACGCGGCACCCACCCCCTCCCAGGCTCTCGGCTGAGGATCCGGCTCAAAGGCAGTGGCTCTGCGGGACCAGGATGGAGGCGAGGCTGGAGGTCTGCCCTGGGAGCCCAGCCGCCTCATGGAGAACACGGGGCCCAGGATTGCCGAAAGGGGTTTTCCAGTCTGGGATGTGTGACCTGTCCCACGTCTTGATTGGTTTTTTCCTTTCCTTTCTTGGAGCCGATGTTTACAGCTCGCTTGAGTTGGATCAGATGCTGTTTTAACAGCTGTTCTAATCGGATGTGCTGTCAATGATTAACCCTGATGATAGTTTTTCTTTCAAAAATACTTCTCTCAAAATGTTGGAATTTGGCTTCTTGGCAGGAAGCCGTTCGTGCAGTTGCTTGGTTGCCGAGTGTCAGTTTCCTCGTCTGAAAGCTGGAGGTCTGTGAGAAGTGCCTCCCCGCTGGGGGCTGTGGGCTCACCCACGACGTGCCGGCAGCCGCTGCTCAGGGGACGTTGGCCGCTACTGTTACCACTGTTGAGAGCAGTTCTGTCTGGCCGACTTTCTGTTTGTAGGAGCTTCCCCTCCTGCAGTCCCCGCCCTCAAAAAGTCAACATTAAAAAAAGAGAGTCGCTCTGTGAACAGTTTTCGCGTTCGTTCTTTGATGCACCGGCGTGCGCCTAGCCCGTCCTGAGGGTCGGATGGTCTACGCAGAGAAGACGAAGGCGCAGTTCCTGCTCCCACGTGCTGGGGAGACGGGGTGGGGGGCGTGCTGCTCCTCAGCAGGTGGTGGCCCAGTCTCAGCTGGAGGGATGGGACGTGCACCCCCTCTTCCCCCCAGAAAAACACCCCGGACCCAGGCACAGGGACCAGGTGTGACACCACCCCATCCCCTCTGCCCGCCCCCAGCCCTGTGCAGCCAGAGTCCTCCCTGCCACTCCGCGACGGTGCTGTTCATTGAGTCTGGGCCCCAGGAGAGAGCCTGAAGGCTGGTAGCCCAGGCTTCTGGAACACTCCAGATCGGTGTGGAGCTCTTCTGCTGGCTCTTGGTTGATGTTCGTGGTTTGGGGAGGCCAGAACTGCTTTCAGGGGGTGGAAGGATGAGATGAGCGGGAGCTTGTTCTGAGCCCCCCCACAGCAGCAGCCTCCTGGTGGCCTGGATGCCTGCCGAGCCTTGAGCCAGGCAGGGCTCCATGAAACCCCAGCAGGTCCCTTTCCCTCGTAACCAGCAGGTGCTGGGCTCTGGCCCAGGCCTTGCAGAAGAGATCCCAGCCGGGGGCAGCCTGTGGCCACGTGTTTGCTAAAAGACGTGGGGAAGAGGAAGGTCAGCTACTCTTTGTTTTCTCCTTTACCCGCCAAGAGCCTGGCGCTTGTGCTATTTGCTGGAGGAAGTCGACAACTGCTGGGACTCTCTTAGAACAGCCACCCCAGAGCCGGAGGGGCTTGCCGTTGTGGGTCAGAGTGACCAGGAAGGCTCCGAGCCTGCCGCCAGCCCTCCTAGCTGGGGAGGGGGCGGCAGCCAGGGGCCCACCGGGTGGCTCGTGGCTGGTCCGGCTTGGCCACTACCTCGCCCTGTCACAGAGGACTCGGGCTGCCGCCCCGCCTCCCGGGTGTACATGAGCCCTCAGCCCACCGCTGCCTCCCCACCCTGGGGCAGACCCAGCCCCACGGCTGGGGGCACTGCTGTGTGAAGTCTCGAGAAGTAAAGGCGGGGGGCTGGTGAGAGGCTTGGCTCAACGTTTCCTGGGCACCTGCTTTGTTCCAGGCACTTCCCTGCCGGTCATTTGAGGGGAGAGGCCTTGGACCCATGAGCTTCCTAAGCAGTAAGAATAGTTTAGTTTATTCTCTTTGCTTTTTGTTTTTAGTAAAGCTTCCTCTTCTTACTTGGTGCGTGAACACGTGGCGGCTGAGTGACTGTGTTCTCCACGCGGCTTGGACTGAGCCGGCTGTGCCTAGAGCTGACGTGGACGCCCTGACTCTTCGGTTCCGTTCCCTTCCCCACCATCAGTTACCTGGGGGGAGGGGAAAGTGAACAGACGTGAGAAAGGACCCTGTTCTGGAGCAGAACTCTTCCTTCCCGCCTACTTAGATTAATAGCTTGCACAGCAGTTACTTCGTAATCTTCCCAGGTTCCTTACAGAATGAACGACAGGCCTCCATCCAGTGGGCAGAGGCCGGGGTGCTGCTGAAAGCCCTGCGGTGCACGGAACAGCCCCACGCGGGGAAGGGTTACCCGGCCCCGAGTCAGTAGTCAGTCAGATGCTGACAAGCCCCGCCGTACAGTGTCCTTGCCAGACTGCACCCCAGACATGCAGACAGGAGGCCCATGGGCCCCAGCCGGGGCGGACACCCTCTCCCCACTGGAAGTTTGGAAATGTAGGGACGGTTATCGGCGCTCAGTTGGTCTTGGATACGAGGGACAGTCCTTCGCACCAAAGACTTCTTTTACCCCAGATGCCCACCATGGGAAACACTGGCCCTGTTCCTGGGGGGGCCAGAGTGTTCCAGGAGAGAGGAGGGGTCCCTGATCCCCAGCCAGGAGCCCCCGACGCCACGGCCAGGCTGTCTGTCGGAGCCGGCACTGCAGCCGGCGGCCCTGAACCAGAGGCGTCCTCACCAGTGGCTGGGGGGAGGTGGGGGTGCTGGCCCCAGCAATTCTCCTGAGGTCCAGGGTCTGTCTGTAGGCCTTCAGACAGCATTGTTTTAATTTTAAGCGCACAAGGATTTCTCATCCAGAATCGTCTGACATGCAGATGATCACAGATTTTTAAAGGCTGTTGTCATGGTTTTGTCTCTGAAAGATTGCTATGTGCTGACGGGAGCTTTGAAGCCGGCTCTGGGACCTCAGTCCTGGCGGCCTCGGGATTCAGAATGAGATAAGAGAAGCAATTCTGAGACTTGTCTGCCAGTGGTCCGTGGCCTTTCTGTCTGGACTCGGTTAACCGTGTAACCCCGCTCTTTTTTTTCTTTTTTTTTTAAGTACCATTCTTCATCTGAGATGGCTTACACAGAACATGGTGGCAAAGCAGTTGAGGTTTTTCTGGATGTGATCTTGTCTGGAGTGTTTGGGGTGGCAGAGAACTGATCTGTCTTTTGACTGCCAACTTACATGAGGGGCCAGGGATCCACTGAGTTACGTCCCGAGCAGCATCTTAGGGAAAGCAAATGAAAAAGTAGTGTTACCCTAAAAAAAATGAAGGGTTAACGAGGAGATGGACTTTGGGCTGGACAGCACACACGAGGGCGAGGGATTGGTCCTGTGGGGGAGAGGCAGCCGTGAAAAGTAGGGGGCGAGGGAGACCCTCTAAGCCCCTCATCACCGCGTGAGTCTGGTCCCGGGGAGCCCTTTGGCACGTGTGGCTGGTGGCCTCCCATCACCTGATTCGTCTGGGAGCCTGAGCGCCGGTCTCGCTGTCACCCTTGGGCCCCTGGGCCGAGCGGCCCCTTCTCACCGCCCTGTGCTTCTCTGCTGTGCTCGGTCTCACCGCATTGTGCGCTGAGGGGATGGAGCTTGCTTTATTTTGCTTTGTTTTGATTAGGGCTTCCACCCAGAGGAGGCGAGCAGTACCCTGAAGCGAACACAGCCCGCCTCTGATAGGAGACCGGAGCGCCCTGAAACGTGGGCAGCCTGGCTGGAGGGCGGTGGAAGGGATCTCTCCAGGCTGTGGACTACGGCGAGGCCTCTGCGGGAGGCCCGCCAAGGGTGGGAGGGTGGAGCCCGTCGAGGGTCTGTGGTTCGGGGGGAGTTTGTCCTTCCACCGTCTGCATTCTGGGGAGTTGATTTATTTGCCTGAGCCTCATGCGGGCTCTTCTCTTTTGCAGACAGAGATTGCGAAGAGACTGAACACGATTTTAGCACAGATCATGCCTTTCCTGTCCCAGGAGGTAAGACCTTCCTTTGCTGGGTCCTTTCTTTCTAGAGCCCAGTGGCTGCCCAACTCTGACTGGAGCCCCGGCCCCTGTCCCTTCCCGTGGACTGAAGTTGACAGCCTGGGGGTCTACAGGACTTTCTCCGGCGTGTCAGAGGGACCATTCGTTCCTTCTTCCCGTGGTATCAGTTCTCTGGAGCTGCTGGAGACCCGAGAGGAGGGCCCTGGCCTGTGACAGGGCTTGTAATGGGCAGTGGGTACTTTTGTGGCCCCTCCAGGCCCCATCTAAACCAGCATCTCCAGCCTCTGCTTCCCTGGGCCCCAGCTTCCGCACCTGGAAACATCTAAGAGCAAGGAAGCCTGGCCAGTTGGTGCCAAGGGCCAGAGCCTGTGAGGGGCTCCGTTACCCAAAGGGACCCCAGCCCCCAGGACAGGGTGTCCCCGTCAGAGGCACGCCCAAGTTGGTCACATCTTCTAAGCACACTTTCCAAGAGGACCCCCCCCTAAGCCTGAGGCAGGGCTGGGCCAGTGGACAGTATGAGAAAAGCATCTCTATGGAGGCGCCTTGGTGCAGGGCAGACGGGGGCTGCCCGAGGGGCCTTTTCTGTCCAGCAGAGCTCGGTCCAGCTGGGGCAGGCCCCGCCCTCCAGGCCCCCTCGGTGGCTGGGCCCACCCGGCTCCCTCCTGGAGTCTTGGGTCTCTGAGACGGAGCAGTGGCCCACACGTGATTGAGTTCACGAGAAAACAGGTACGGCGCTGCCCTCAGAGCTTGCAGCCTTTTAGGAGCGGCAGTTGCCTGTGAAGCAGGCTGAGGGGAATGAATGCAGTAAAAAAAATTTTTATTAATAGACTTAATTTTTTAGAGTAGTTTGAGGTTCACGGCAAAACTGAGTGGAAGGCACGGGGGCATCCCCCAGCCCCCCGTCTGCATCCCTCAGCGGAGTGACTGGCGAGCCTGCAGCAACGCGCCGTCACCGCGTCCCGAGCGGCACTGGGGCCCGCCAGGCCGTCTTTCTCTCCCCAGACACGTATTTTTGTTTCCCACTTAGACAGATGCAGGCTGAGCGTGTGTAGACACATGTGCTTTTCTTCCGAACCCCCTGAATGTCAGCTGCAGAGACGGTGACGGCTCGCAGCGCTCACCGCTCTACCCGCGTCTCCTGAGCACAGGACGGCCTCCTGCAGGCCTGAGCCTTGTCACCGCGTTTAGAAAACGAATCATCGTTCAGTAACATCATCCAGCGTCCAGCTCATTCTCAAAGGCACGGAAGGAAGGGACTTTGTGCAGTGGAGGGAGACGGTTGACCAACAGCCATCTTTTGGCTCATTTATGTTTTAACTTGAAACTATAGGAGGTCTTCGTTGCATGCTGGTTGAAAAGGGTTTAAAGAAGAAAGTCCCCTGGTCCACCTGTGTCCTGTTTCAGTTAGCGGCCCTCCTCTGCCTTCTCGGGGGGCTGTGTCCCCTCCTGTCCCGGGCGGCCCTCCAGGGCTCCTCTGTCGGGGAAGGCGGCTGCCTCTAACCCACACCCCATTTCCTCTAGCACCAGCAGCAGGTGGCTCAGGCGGTGGAACGGGCCAAGCAGGTGACCATGACGGAGCTGAACGCCATCATCGGGGTACGTGGACTCCCCAGTCTGCCTCTCGCCATGTGTATAGCCCTCTTATTCCTCTCACTGACCGTAACCAGAGGTGGACCCTGACCTTAGCTGGCCTCAAAGAATGGCAGCCCCAGGGCTCCGGCCTCCCCCACATCTCATGGGCTTGGACCCATTTAGAGAATTTCCCCATTGGCTCCCCAGTTGCCTCCCACTCCCCAAATTAAAGGGGTGCCCAGCACGCCCCAGTCCGTCTCTGCACTCGTCAGCCCCCTCCTCCCCTGGCTTTATGGTGTCTCTGGCATTGAGGCGGGGTGGGCTCCGGGGTCACCTCGGAGGCCCAACCGACGGACGAGGGTGCCCGGCCTCCTCCCCCACCTCCCCAGGGGTCTGTCCCCTCCCGGGCACAGGTCTGCCCTTCTTTGGCCACCTGGGATCAGCATTGTCTCTGCCCTGCTGCTGCTGTGAACGCGCTGTGGCATTCGGGGCTGGGCTTGCCGTCTGTGCGCGGGGCTGCCTGGCCGCGTGCTCGCCGTGTGCCTGGGTGGCTTCCAGCCAGGGCACCTGGGTGGGTCTCCCTGACGTCCTAGACGGCCCGTCTCACCCGGGAGCAGAAGAAGATAACGCAGAGCGCCCTATGACGCCCACTTCTGGTCTGTCCCCTCGGTGGAAGGAGGAAGCCAGATTTCTCCCCGTAGTGCCCCCGCCTGGCTTGCATCTTGACTGCATTTGTTGGAGTCACGTTGCTTCTTTCTCCTGCTTGCTGCTTTGGGGTGAGGCTAAGGACGTTCAAGACAAGCAGCTGAGGAGGAACAGTCTATTTAATGTGGCTTGGGGCAAATCCCTTGGCCTCAGGATGAACCTGTCCACCTTTGGTGCCTGAAACGAAGGGGGTGGGCGAGACCCCTGCTTCCCATTCACCAGTGGCTGAGTGTGCGTGCCCGAGGGGGCTTCCAAATAACAGGAAATCCAGGATCCTCACCCCAGAGTTACTCTCCGCAGGTCTGGGGTGGGGCTGGGACTTTGTGTTTTTCAAGTTTTCCAGATCATTCTGAAGGGTGGTCAGTCTTGGGAAGCGGCGGACTGGTTGGCTGAGGTCCCTTCAGCCCTCTGGTTGGTCCTCATTCCTCCTCTGGTTCTTAAGTGGGGTCATTGTTTCGCGGTGGGCCTGAAGGCCCAGAGTGTTCTGCTTGGTGAGGTGAATGATGCCTCTGGGCTTGTCGTTCTGGGGCCGAAACCTGGAGGCCTGTATTCTGGTTGTGCCTCTTCCTGTGTGACCTCAGGCAGGTTAAAGGAGGGAGTGGACCAGCTTCTCTCTTCGGGCCAGGAGTGCCAGGAGGGTAGGGTTGGAGTGCCTGAATGATGCTGGCGGATCCTGACCCTCTGACCCGCCATCGGGACTATGATGCTTATGTGGGCCTGTCCTCTGGCCTCTGTCCCTGGCGTCCGTCCCTGGTGGCTGTGGAATGCTGCTGGGGCAGATGCAGGAGCAGGAGCGTCAGCCTCCTCTGACTCCCATGATGTTGGGGGAGGAGCAGCGAGGAGTCTGGAAGTGGGGAGGGGAGGGGAGTGGTCGGTTTTTACAGCTTTTAGCAGTTGTGCTGGGAGGCAGAGCCCCCAGGGGTGAACTCACAATACTGTAAAGTTTGAGTTCTCAGAGACCATCTAACCCCAGGGTTCTTCAGCCCCAGGGCTGGTGAACTTTGAGGCCAGGTACCTGGTTAGGATGCGGTGGGGGGGGGTGTTCAGCCGCAGCCCTGGCCTCCACCCTTGGGACGCCCGTGGCTCCCCCACACACACACTCAGTGTGATGCCGACGTGTCTCCAGACATTGCCCAGTGTCCTGGCATCGGGGGGGCACACAAAGTGTCTCGTGATGGAGAACCGCCGATGTGACCCACTCCCGGGCCTTACAGAGATGGGAGGTGACTCACAGGTGGTCGCACGCTGTGCAGGCCGGAGGCCCGGGGCTGTCTTTCGGCTCAGGCTCTTCTCCCCCGCTTTCCGTCCAGTCCAGCCCTGGTGTGGAGCTGTGTCTTCCTCGGTGACCAGCACGCAGCCTGGTGGCTCTGCTGCCGGGGTGGAAGAGGCCGCAGGGGTGGGCGGCACAGCGTGAGCTCTGTCCCCTGAAATTCCTCCTCTTCCGGTTGCTCGTCCCCCCCACCCCGCCCCCACCACCTGCTTCCCATCCCTGCCGTGGCCGCAGTGGGGTCCCCTCTCCTTCTCTGCCCCCCGCTTTTGGAATGAAAATCCTCTTACGAAAATTATTTTTTCTAAGTTCTAAGAGAAGTGTGGAGTTGGGGAGGAGGCGCTGCTTGGATGAGCTCCACGTCCATCAGGTCGTATTTAGGGAGCTACACGTTAGGTCAAGGCAGCTCCAGGCAGATATTGGAATTCAATTAAAGCCCACGAGTGGGGCCTGTGACCCCCATTTTCAGGGTAATTGCTTCTCCGGCTCTGAGCGAACGCCACCATCGCCCCGTCATTAAGCAGCTGGCATCTCATCGCTGCGCCTGACAGAGCCTCACATGGCAGGAATCACGGGGACGTGGAGGCAGGCTCGCGTGGGGAGCCCCAACTCCATCCAGCGGAGGAGGAAGGAGAGGGGAGAGTGGGCTGGCTCCTGGGCCGACCTGGGAAAGTGACAGGAGGAGGGTGGCGGGGGGCCGGAGTCCTGCCCCAGCAGTGAAGGGCAGGGGACGGCCTGGAGGCTCTTAGAGCAGCTAAGAATGGCTGTCCCCAGGGCCCTGTCGGACCTGCTGCTCTAGGGGAGGAGCCGGCTGGCCCCCTGGACTGGGAGTTAGGGTCTTGGCTCTGGAAATGCTTGGACAGCTTCTTGAAGTTTAACCCCACCCATGACCCTGAGAAGAGGAGCTCTCAGTCAAGGGACAGAGACGTCAGGTGTGATGCTCACAACCCAGCAACACGGATGCGGCTGGTGAGAGCCGCCGCCAGCCTCTCCTCGGAGTGGCCGTACCTTCTGAGCCCAGGACGCGGGCACTCGGCGCACATGAGGAGGACAGGGCCACACGTCTGCCCCATAGGGCTGCGCTCTCACAGGCTGCTGTTCTGGCGAGAAGGTCAAGGGAGTGGGCCTCGTGAGGGGGCTGGCTTCCAGACTCCTCGCCCCTCTCCGGGGTGGGGGAGGCCGGGCGGGGTTGCTGGCGCCGCTTCCTGCCGTGGGCGAGAAGTCCTGGCGCGGGAGAGATTGGTGGGAGTGGGGGACAGGCAGCTGCCGGGTGGTGAGCCAGGGCCCTCTTCGGACAGTGGACTTGATTCCATTTCTCCCCAGTTGGAAACACTGTCACCCTCCCACTCAGGTGTCACTCTGTTTCTGCACGTGGTCCTCTAAATTTAGTCAGAGATGTGTCATGGGGCTAGACGTGCAGCCTGGGGCTGGCTGGGCCCCGCCGGCAGAGGGGCGAGGCTGTGACCTGGGCGTGGAGGCGGTGGTCCCTTGCCCCCCTGCAGAGGAACTTTCACTCTGCAGTCAAGACCGTCGGTAGCAGGTCCTTTGCCCGACGAGCCCTGGCATCTGTTCTCGCCCTGAGAGGGAGGCCTTGGAGGTCGGCTGAGTGACCCTGCTTCCTGGAGCCTGCTGGGCCGCTCCTGCCGGCGTCTTCGCCCAAAGCAGCCCTCGGGGGGATTTCTGGCTGTGCAGGGGGTGCTCCTGTCCTTGAAGATGAGGGGTACGTGGAGGTCACCTTCCCTCTGGCAAAGAGGACAGTCCTGCATGACGTGCCGCAGTGGAAAACTGCCCTCTGTGCCACGGAAGCTCCGCAGCTTTGAAAGCCACTGTTTCCTAAACCCCCACCTTGCTCCGAGTCTGTGACACTGGCTCGCTGTTCCCCATCGGGAGCAGCGGGGCGCCCCACTGATACTCCTTGTCCCAACAAACTGAGCTGCGTCTCGCTGGGGCTTGGAGAGGAGGCTCGGATGTGGGAGGTGGACGGCTTTTGGACAGAGCCACTCTGCTGACTGACTTCCCAGCCTCTCCTTGTCCATCTTTTCCAACATTCTCACCTGTTCACCCAGCAAATGTGTACTGAGCACACGTGCCAGGCGCTGCTCAAGGTGCTGGGTGGGGAAAACAAGGTCCCTCCCCGGAACCCACGAGTTGCTGAGCATCACAGAAAGATGGGAGAAATGGCTCCGTCTGTGGTCCTCTCACAGTCTTGCTGGTGCCAGCGAGCACCGATGCTGCCTATACGCGCAGTAACATGCGTGAACCTTATGCAGCCCTGAAGAGGTGGGCTGCGCCCTGAGGAAACTGAGGCTCAGAGAGGTCCACTGACGCACCTGAGGTCTCACTGCTGGTAGAAGACAGAGCAGGACGTCATCCTTGGCCAGCCCGGCTCGAGTCTGCGCTGGCAGGCCTCCCTGGAGGGAGGAGCCCGTTCCCACCAGGATGACGGGGCGCTTGACCTGGGCGAGACTGAACCTAGAAGGCCGGGCAAGAGGGCAGAATCGCATGCTTGAAATTATTCAGCTGCGTCTTCTCATAGGTACCAATCTTCAATAAGCTCTTTCTCTGAAAACAAGATTGTGGGAGGAGGCTGCCGGGCACCCAGGCAGCAAAGCTGCTTTGAAGCTGCCCACCCTCTTCCCTTCTATTCCTCGCGTGGTCTTACTGGCCAGGCCCTGTAAAAAGTGGGTTCAATTATATACCTCAGTCCTTGCTTTCTGGGATTTGACTAAATAGTTAACACTGGTGGGATTAAAGGATCTACCAGCAATTGTTTGAAACCACAGGGTCCCCAGTGGACTCTTAAAACCTGGGCCTCCAGATAAGGCCGGATGGTCCAGCCACACCGAGGATGCCATGTCGCCAGTGAAGGGACATGTGCATTTGTTCAGAACACTCGTAACCTTCCTGCTATACAAGTGGATTTTAATTTAACAAGAGCCCGTTTGTTCAGAAGCATGTAAACTTTGTAAAGGAACCTGGACAGATTAACAGCGGACACTTCAGGGGAGCAGGTGGACGGGCAATGTTAGAAAAACTGTTCAGTCTACACTTATTTTTGATATTTTTCTCACAGTGAGTATGTGGAGTTTTGTTTGTTTTTGTTTTTGTTTTTGTTTTAGTAAGATATAGAAATTACATTTTCTCTAGAAGGAAGAGGTGTGAGAGATCAGGTGTGAGCTCGCGTCCCAGACGAGTCTGAGCGCCTGGCTGGGGTGGGCCCGTCCTGCAGGGGTTCCTGGGGCACTCGGCTTGGCTTCTGCTCTGGCATCTCAGGGCAGATGTGGGGTCAGGCCACACTGGGGCCAGTGCCCACCAGCAGCTTCCATAAGTTGCTCAGCAAGAGTTGTCCCAGGTCCCAGGCGATGGCCACAGGTCCCAG